TGTGTCTGTGTGTGTGTGTGTGTGTGTGTGCGTATCTGTGTCTGTGCGATATCCTGGACCAAATTTATAGATTGAGTGGGGAAAAAAAAAAGTGTAGAACGGCGCAGATTGCACAGCAAAACGAACAATCAGCGTACTTATGAGATGAGATCTTAAACAAAGCAAGAAAAAAAAACAGGGGGGAAAAGAACGCACCGTATTCACCAAAAGTTTGGGGGATGAAATGACCTAATCAGATCTCGTCACTCGATCTCGTCTTCTCATCATTAATTATCATATGTATATATATACCTCGCGTCTGCCCGTGGTCCGAAGCACGATCACAATGTTGCACTCAACTCTCCCTCAGTTGTTTTTCCTTATAGATCTCTCCCCCTCCCTCTCCCTCTCTCTCTCTCTCTCTCTCTCTCTCTCTCTCTCTCTCTCTCTCTCTCTCTCTCTCTCTGTGTCTGTGTGTGTGTGTGTGTGTGTGCGTGTGAGAGAGAGAGAGAGAGAAAATGTGTTTGTGCTTGCCTGCATTTCTGCGTGTGTTTGCTAATGCCGTTCCTGTGGTCTAGCAGCCATCACCACTTCTTTCCTCATCCTCCACCTCCCGTTCATGTCTTCTTGACCTCCCCGTTCTTCTCCCCCCATCTTCACTCCATGCTGATTTGATATACCAGCCGCAGCACACCCCACCACGACCGACCCCTCCAAAGGCATTGCCTGCTGCGCGCCAAGCCCACCACTCTACCACTTGTCAGCGGGCAAATTGCCACTAAGAATGCTTAAATTGAACAAGCCCAAAGATTACCCAATGTGAAAACAAGCAACTAGACTGAAAAAACTAACATACAAAAAAAAAAAAACAGTGCAGAGAAGAATCAAAGCTTTTTTTCCACCGCGCCCCCTCCGTCTCCTCTCCCCGCCCACCCCCTAGTTTCGTCATTCCCGAGGAATCTTCATGGGCCCGGGCCCAAACTTCAAGAGCAGTACCTTTCCCATGGAAATGTGGGGCTTCAGATACTTCGACCGCTCTCATGGGAGAAGAATCAGACAAGCGAAGAAAAAGGACAACGGCCGCGATCCCATCCCACCCGATCCCGATCCGATCTGGATCCGAATCCTATCAGATCCGATCTTATAGAATACGTACCGAGATCAACGTTGACCCGTCTTGAGAAAAGACTGTGAGTTGAGTTCAGTTGATTGTTGAGTTGCGTTTAACCTTAGAGAGCTGATGTGACTTTGAATCGAGTTGGTTTTGAGCTGAGCGAGAAATGAGCGAGAAGACACCAAATCCATTCTCTTGAACCTATAGGTAAGCTAGTCAGTATTCTTGCTCTTTGTTCCCTCCTACCGACAATTAAGAATTTCTTCGCCCGTTTTTTTGGTCTCCTTTTCCTCCACTCTCTTTCGTCTTCTTCTTAGCCTCACCACTCCTTCCGGTGCAAATTTGCAATCCTCCTCCTCCTCCTCCTCTTCTCCCTTTTTCCGCAATCAAATGCTCTCGTCCCTTGCACTGATTCTTCCTCTTCTACCTCTTTCTTCTCTTCCCCTCCTCTTCTTCGTCTCCGACCGATTAGTATTATTCTCTCTCTCTCTCTCTCTCTCTCTCTCTCTCTCTCTCTCTCTCTCTCTCTCTCTCTCTCTCTCTCTC